GTCCCTGTACCCCACCAACCCTGTACCCCACTATCCCTGTACCCCTCCATCCCTGTACCCCACTATCCCTGTACCCTCCATCCCTGTACCCCACTATCCCTGTACCCCTCCGTCCCTGTACCCCTCTGTCCCTGTACCCTCCGTCCCTGTACACCACCAACCCTGTACCCCTCCATCCCACCACCCTCCATCCTGGCTCCCCACCTCTCACTTCTGCCTCCTCAGACCCTGCCCAGGGTCACTCGCCACCTTCCCAGCTGCACAAGGAGGCTGTCACCTCTCTCTGTCTCAGTCCCAGATTCCCCCAATGCAGCATGTGATGTGCCCAGCTTGTGACATGGTCCACCTTCCGTCCACAACACGGTAGCCGGGGAGGGTCCCACCCCTGCTGCCCGCCGTGTACTCCCTGCCCTTCCCGCTCCCACCCCCAGCCTTCCCAGAGGCCCCGGGTGCAGGCCAGGCCCCAGCACCAGACGTCTCCCCCCTTTCCCCGTCTTCAAAGACTCAGAGATAACGTTTCCTTCTGTCTCGCCTTTCGCAGAAGGAGCTAAGGTTGGTGGCTGAGCCACGCCGGTGACAGGGGCCTGTCCTGACAGGGGTCCCTTCCCTGGGGCTGCGGTGCCGGTAGGGAGGAGTCTGCACCCTCCTCCACCTTCATGAAAAGTCCAAGGGCTGTGCCAGCCAGACCTCTTCCCTGTAACTGGGTTTGGAGAATGGTCAGCCAGCCTGAGGCCACCATGGGGCACCACCTGGACCCAGCTGCTTCTCCCAGGTATCCCTCCCCCAAGAGGTGACAACTCTGCCTGTTTCCCCAAATGTTTCTCGGCAGGACCCTTGGCGTGTTTCCCACAGCCACCAGAGGGCGCCAGAGTCTGCGAACCCTGTAGGAGATGGAAGCAAGGCCTGGTGCTGCCACCCTGTGGCCATTCCAGGATAGACTCTGGGCAGCTTTTATCACCCAGGGACTGACAGGATACTTGCCCACCTGTGAAATGGGTTTAAAGTGTAAGGGTCTGAAGATGAGCGGGTAGGAAAAAACATGCCTGTCAGGGGAAAGGGCCCCAAGCCAGGAACCCCATTATTGTCATGCTCAGGTCGCAGCATGTCCACTGTGGTCTTGGTGGTGGCAGAAGGCTTGAGTTTGGGACCCTGCTGCTGCCTGCTGTGACCTTGGACAAGCCCCATCCCTCCTGTGAGTTGACCTCCCTGGGGTTGCCGAGGTCAGGCAAGGGAAGGCGTGTGGGATGATGCTACACAGAGTCGACATGCGAGGGCCGTTTTGTGCAGCCGATGGGGCCTGCCGTCTGCTCTCAGAACGCTCCCTGCTGTGGTCCCCGGGGAGGCTCAGGGTCAAGAGCTCCAGGAAGTGAGGGCGGGAAGAGTCCTGAGAACAGCAGGATCCCGCCCCGCTGGGAGGCAGGGAGGGCTCATGGGGAGGATTCTGGTTTGCTTTTTTTGTTAAATTCGAAAAATTTCATTTTGATTATGCACGTAATGAATGTTAATTGTACATAAATAGAAATTGCAGATAAGCAAAAAGATGACACAAATTACTCAGTTCCTGGCCACTTCTAATATTTTTGGAGTATAGTTTATTTTTTATGTATTAATAGTTTATCTATATATGTAGCCTATATAATGCACACATACAGACATATATTTAATATCTGATATACCTAGTATATATATTTTTGTATATATTTAACAGTTAAATGAAGCCTATTTTGTGGCAGGCAGTGTTTCAAGCACTTTACAGATGTTACCTCATGTAATCCTTACAACATCCCTGGGAGGTGGACACAAATATTCCCATTTTACAGATGAGGAAACTCAGGCACCAGAAAGGTTAAGTGACTTGCCCAATGTGGCACAGCTAGTAAATGGCAGAGGCCAGATTTGAAGCCACACCTCCTGGCTTCAGCTTCTGTGATCTTAATCACAATGCTATTTTGTTCCTCTCTGTGTAGGTTTCTCTTTTTTAAAAATAAAAATTCAGGGCGGACGTAGTGGCCCACGCCTGTAATTCCAGCACTTTGGGAGCTCAAATCAGGAGGATCACTTGAGCCCAGGAGTTCAAGACCAGCTTGGGCAACATAGCCAGACCCTATCTCTACAAAAAATTTAGAAATTAGCTGGGCATGGTGACGTGTAGCCCCCGCTACTTGGGAGGCTGAGGCAGGAGGCTTGCTTGAGCCCAGGAATTTGAGGCTGCTGTGAGCTATGATTGCATCACTACACTCCAGCCCAGGTGACAGAGTGAGACCCGATCTGTAAAATAAAACAAAAAAAAAGGTCATCTCATCCAGTGGTTTCTCGATCATGAACATATTCCAGGTCAGGAACTACCTCCCAAGTGCCAAGTGCCAGTATATGACTGTTCCCTGGTTTATTTCCATAATATACTATATTATTATTACTATACTGCAAAAATATTAAAAGTGGTTAGGGACTGAATATGTCATCTTTTTGCTTATCTGCAATTTCTATTTATGTACAATAAACATTCATTACGTGCATAATCAAAATGAAATTGTTCAAATTTAACAAACAAAAAAGCAAACCAGAATCCTCCCCATGGGCTTGCCGTCCCCGGGAGCCCTCCCTGCCTCCCAGCGGGGTGGGTCTTGCTGTTCTCAGCACTCTCCGTTCTGACTTCCTTGATTCCTGAGGAGCTGGGACTGTAGGCGTGCACCACCACGCCAGGCTAACTTTTAAAATTTTTTGTAGAGATGGAGTCTTGCTATGTTGCCCAGGCTGGCCTCAAATTCCTGGCCTCAAGTGCTCCTCCTGCCTCAGTCTCCCAAAGTGCAGGAATCACAGGTGTGAGCCACGGGGCCCGGCCTCCCTGGTTTATTTAACCAGTGGACTGGGAAGGATTTTGACAGTGGGAGTGTCTGATGGGGAACAGCGCTTGCGGTGGGCTGATGAGCGGCCCCAAATGTATCCAGGTCCTAACCCCTAGAACCTGTGAAATTTACCTTGTGTGGTAAAGGGCATTTGTGTTAATAGATGATGAAGTTAATGATTTTGAGCTGGGGAGGTTATCCAGGTGGGCCCTGACTGTGATCACAGCGTCCTAAGAGGCAGGCAGAGGGAGACCCTGGCGTGAGTTAATTTCAGCTGATCCTAATGGACCACACACGCATGGATACAAAGCGAGGTTTGAGGACGGACGCTCTGGGGCCGGAGGTGCCGGGAAGGGACTGGGAGCAAGAAGTGTGGACGCCTCCAGAGGCCAGAGGAAGCGAGGAACCCGACTCTCCTGAGAGCCTCCTGCAGGAATCAGCCTGCTGTCACCTTGGTTTCAGCCCAGTGAAACCGACTGGACTTCGGCCTCCAGGACCGTAAGAGACATTTGCGTTGCGCTAAGTCACCAGGCTTGTGCTTACTGGCAGCAGCTGCCCCGGGACAGTGGTACAGATGACTTGAGCCAAGTATAGTCAGGGGAGAGAAGCGGCTGCAGGGGACTTGGTGACCTGGGCGAGTCCCCAGGTTTCCAGTCCGTCCGTTTCCTCCTCTGTGAGATGAGGGGCTGGGGGTTGGGCTCTTGGGTTCAGCCAGGGGCACCCACACTGGCTGGCGTGGGTGCGTTGCCTCCTCGCTTGTCAGCCTCAACTGCCGTGGAGATAATGGCTTCCCTGGGCCACAGGGGCTGTGCTGATCAGCGGTAGCAGATGACCCAGAAAGCCTGTCTCCTTGTGGCAGTTCCCAGCCAGCCCCCTTGTTCTGGGAAGCCCAGAGTGGAAGGCCTAGGTTTATCTTGCCCCTGGGGACTGGGGCAGGCCTCAGGCCCTCTCTGGCCTCAGTTTACTCATCTGCAGGATGGGGGCGCTATTCCTGGTTCCTCTGCTCCACCGTGTCCATGCCCAGCCCCTCCCAACAAGCCCAACCATGCAGGCTGCTCCTGTTGCCTTCGGCCCTCGAGGGCAGATACCAAGGTCCAGGCCTGGGCAGCTGGGCCCAGCACACGGCCCCTCCTCTTCCCGCCTTTCCCCTACATTCCAGCCTGCTCGGACTGGCGAGATCTGGACTGCGGGCAGCCCAGCCTTGAGCCCGGGTTGAGAAGGGGGGCCTCAGAGTCAACAAAGCTGGTTTGAATCTCAGTTTAACATTTATTTGCCCTTTGCATGAACGCGGACAAGTCCCTTCCCCCAGGCTGTAGGGAAGGTATTGCGTCCCTCTTGCTGGTGAGGAAACCGAGGCTCCGAGAAGACCTGCCCAGGATCACCACCGGGAACCAGGGTTCAGGCACAGGCCTGCCGAACATCTCCCGGGTTCTCTGGCCTCCTAGCCCCAGGGAGGCAGCCAGGGACCAGGTGCCACCCTCCTGGGGCCAGGCGAGGGTGCCTGTCCCTTGGGCATGTCTTACACGGTGAAGGTCCCACTGGTGGGCCAGTGTGGGCAGTGGCTCCCTGCCTCCCAGCAGAGCCAGCCCCATCTTCACCCCCGTGCTGGCAGCACGCCAGGCAGGGGCCACCCGCCTGCACCCAAGCCCTGTAACCTGCTCACAGGGAGGCCTTGGGCAAGCCCCTTCCCCTCCTGGAGCCTCAGTTTCCTCATCTGTAAAGTGGGCACGTGGCAGTGGCAGCACCTCCTAGAGCTGCTGAGGGCCGAGGGCCTGCTCGTGTCGTGGCCCAGCTTCGGGAAGGAGGACCCGACAGACCGTGCAGTTCAGGTGGCTCCTGGGTTGGCTTCAGATTTCCTCTCGGATACTCGAGACCCGAGGCCCAGAGAGGACTAAGGGCGGTCACTGTGTGTGGTGGGTCCTGGAGGACGGAGTCTGCTGGGAGGTGAAACTGTTAATGAAGGACCAGCCCTCTCATTTCCTGCCTCGTTTCCACTTCCCAACAGCCCTCCCAGGCGAGCCTTGCTCTCCTCTCTAAGGGATAAGCAGACAGGCTCAGAGAGGCTGACCTCCTCCCAGCTGGATGGAACTGAGGACAGGCCTGGGGACAGGCCCAGGTTGGGGGCCGGGGACACCCTTGCCCCGAGGCAACCATCGTTGCAGTGTTGCTTCTCCCTGACGGCTGACGGCACTGAGCCTTTTTCACGTTTATTGACCAGTCCTCATCTTCCTTTGGGAACCGCCAGTTGTTAACTGGGTCGTCCTCTCGAGTTACAGGACTTAGTGTGTTCTGGATACGGACCCTATTAGATTATATACATAGCGTCTATTATATAGTGTACCTGGGGATTTTCTCCCAGGCTGTGGCCTATTCGTTGGTAGTTTCAAGTGACATGAACCAGACTTGGGTTTTCGAACGGTCGCTCAGGCTTAGTGTGCCAGGAGGGGAGGAGCAGAGACAAGTGTGGGAGGTTTTGCGATCGTCCAGATAGGAAATGACTGTTTTCAAGCAGGTGGCCTGAGCGGAGGTTGTGAGAAGTGGCCGGATTGCAGATATTTTGCAGGCAGAGCTGACAGGGCTTGCTGGTGGATTGACCTAGAAAGAGCGGGAAGTGCGGAGTCCAGGATGACTCCAAGGCTTCTGGCTTAAGTTTCTGGAAGCAAGGGGTTGCCATTTGCTGAGATGAGGAAAAGGGAGGGGATTTGGGAGGAAAACCTAAGACGCTTGTTAGCTTTTTAAGTGGAGATGTGGAGTCTGCAGTTGGATTCATGGATCTGGAGTTAAAGCATAAAACAAGGGTCATGTGCACACAGACGCTGAAAGTAATCTCGGCGAGATGCGGCCACTGGGAGTGTGGGTAGAGAGGAGGGTCTGAGGCCACAGAGGGACAGCCAGTGGGGTGGAGAGAAGCCCGGCAGTGTCCCCGTAAAGATGGTGCTTCCATGGAGGGAGGGATGGCCCTGCCCGAGACGGCTGAGTCACATGAGGGCCGAGGAAGGACCACCCGACGGGGCGACTTGGGGCACTGATGAGAGCACCCCAAATCGAACGAATACCCACTAATGTGGGTGGGCTGCTTGGGCTTTAGAGGAGAAAAATGGATTTATTTTCTAACTTATAAATGCCCCCAAACCACCCAAGCCCAGATCGGAGAAATCCTGGCTCCATCAGCTTTGAAACTTTATTAGAAGGCTGTTTTAAATAACTTCCAATTCTTTCGTAATTTGCTTTTTGACAAATTCCAGTTGTAACTATATATATTTATAGATAACAGTTTTGCATTGGTCTGTGCATCCTGTCGCAGTTCCCGTCAGGCCATGCTGGTGCATGAAGTGCAGCTGTGACGTTGACCAGCATTACTGAGCGAGGGCAGCCAGGGCTGGGGTGGAGCTGGCTCCTGCCCTCCTCCAGCCCCCACAAACTCCCAGCGAGAGGCACCTCACTGCCTTGTCATTCAAAGAGGCTGAAATAAAGAAATCCTCCCAGTCGAGGAAACTGGACTTCTGCCTGCAATGCTGAGGTTTCTCCCACTCTCCCGCTGGTCACCCCAGGTTCCTGAGGCTCCCTGGGGGCAAGCACTGCCCCGCCCTGGCCAAAGGACCCGCCTCCTTCTGTCTCCAGTCCAAGAGGAATTTCTTTGGACATGACACTGGGCGTGGGCAGCGGGAAGGGTCGCTCCCGAGACCCCTCCCCTTCCCTTGCCCCCCACCCAGTGGTGTGGGAAGGTACAATCAACCGTGAACATAAATATGAATAAAAAATGAACTTGAAAATGACAGGCTATTAAACAAATCTATAAAAATAGTTAGGACATAACTCTGTTCAAATAAATACAAAATAAATAGGCTCCAAGCAGTGTGACATGTCACACAAGTGGAATGTGAGGCTGGTCCCACTTTGCCCCAAGGGGGATTGGACCCAAGTCCCCAGGGGCGTCGGCAGCGGACTTTAATGCAGTCGGCCCAACGACCTGCTCTTCCCTCCGGAAGCACAGAACTTGCATATTCGTCCAGCTTGTCTGAACAAAACCCTTTTCCCAACGATACATAATTAAGGCCTTCAACACCTTCCATTCTCTCAGCAGGGGACGCAGATGCTCTGCCCGTCACTCGAAAACACGATCTCCACTGCCCTCATGCCACAGCGTGGGGACAGTCCTGACAGAGTCCAGGCCAGCTCAGAGCACCAGGAGGCCCCAAGCAGGGAGCGGAGGCCTCCCGTGAAGCCCTGCGCCATAGCGTCAGGCAGCCAATGCCCGCTGTGTGCACACGTGCTCCCAGGTGCTGGCGAGCTCGGTAACCAACAGCAGGACTTGGGCGAGGGGGGCACAGAAGCCAGACCCTTTTCTTTCCCGGCCCAGCTGAGTCAGTGTCAACCCTGTGGGTTGGGAAGTCAGACTGGCCTCACCTCTCACCATGGACTGAGGGGAGAGGGACGGGGAGGGAGCGGGCTGGCAGCCCTCCTCCTACCGCACCACATCGGCAGAGAAGGAAGCAGAGGGGCGCGGGGGGCCCGCAGCCAATGTCTGGCTGCAAGGACAAGATGGAAAAACTAAGTTGGCCTCCAAGCTCACTCTTTGGCAGGCACTGCAGGAGATGTCCTGTCCCCAGGTGTGTGAGCCTGGATCCTGCTGACCCCTGGACCCTGAGGAATGCCCACAGGTCTTCTCTAGAACCAATGGGAGGGTCCACCAGGGTCAGCAGGACAAGCCCACGGGCCTGCCAGCTCTCCCCACCCCGCCCTGTGGGTTCATCCCAAGGTTTTCACAGCTTGGCGCAAGTCAGCGTAGTGTTGGCGCATTCACAGAATGAGGTGGCTGCACATCCCGGGCCGCAGCCGGGATCAGTGAGTCTGCCGGTGCGGCTGCGCTCCCGTCACCGCGACTGCACACCCAGGGTGATCTTCAGGTTCTCGTACACCACGTAGCTGATGCTCACGGCTGGGATGACCTTCATGAAGTTGGGGGCCAGCCCCCGGTACAGCCCGAAGGCCCCCTCAGTCCGCAGGATCTGTCTGAAGAGGCTGCTCATGGTCACCTGCGGAGCACCCTCGACGGAGGCTGCAGGAGAGGCCACCTGTCAGATGCTCTGTCCCCACCTCCCCCTGCGCCCGGAGACAGGCTCCTGGGGAATGGCTAGGACCAACCTTACCTTGTGCCTGCATCCGGGTCCTAACCAGGGCCAGCGGGTAGCTGGCCAGCTGGCCACAGGTGCTGGATATGGTGCCACAGGCCAGGAGCACAAACACACCGGGGTCTGCGCTGTTCACCGCGTAGCGCTGCAGCCAGGCGTTCTTGAGCGTCTAGATGGGGAAGGGGGTGCAGGCATGAGCCCCAGGAAGAGCTGGGGAGGCAGAGAGACTGGGGTGGGGCAGTTACTGATCCCCGAGGCCACCATAACCTGAGTGCATGGCCTGGCTTGGGCCTTGCTGAGCTCCTGGCCTGCCTGCCCTTGTTTCGGTTGTCCCTAGGATTCCTGGATATGACAGGGAGCTTCCCCACACAGAACGCCTGACTTCTGTGTATGTCTGGAGTCTACTGGGGGCCCGTAAGCCCCTCAGGACCACATGCTCTGGGGATCTGCCTGCTGAGCCCCTGGGGTGCAGACTCTGGCAGGCAGGGTCACAGGAGCTGTGCTGGGGCTGCCAGGGCAGGTAGGGTGGAGGGGAGCCGTGCAATGAGCAGGTGAGCCCGGGGTGGAGAAGCAGTCTCTGATGCTGTTTGCTGTGCGGACCATCCCCCGTGGTCCACCAGGGAGGGTGCCAGCAGGCAGGTGTGGGCAGGACGGGGTTTCCAAATCTGCCCAGGGCCTAAGCCCTCCAGGGCCTCACCTCATAGACGGCTAGGTCGATGCCGGCATAGGGGATGATCCCCAGCATGTTAGGGACATAGCCTTTGTAGAAGGCGGCTACGCCCTCTCTGGCCAGGATCCTCCTGGCACAGTCCAGCATGCCTGAGTACTGGCCTGTCTTCCGCAGGGCCATCCGGGTCTTCAGGACCTGCAGAAGGGGAGCAACAGGAAGTGTGAGCTCAGCCCACTCCTCAGCCCAGCCCCGTGCACACCGCCGCCACCCCCAGGAGGAAGGTGCCCCTCACCTCCATTGGGTAGATGCTGCTCTGGGCGATGGCCCCTGCCAAGGACCCTGCCACAAGCCTCTCGTGAATCCTCAGAGTCTCCTGGTCACTACCAACCAGACGCTTGATCTAGAAGCGGGAGAAAAACCACCGGATGCATCTAGAGACTAGGCACCTGCCCCTGCCCCACCCTTCCTTGTGGAGCCAGTACATTTTGGACGGGACCTAGCATCCCTGGCACATTTTACACTGCCCAGAAAAGGAAGCAACTGGCCTGAAGTGGAACTGGCGGCAGAGCCAGTGTCAGGCCCAGGCCTCCCGCCCTGCCCACTGTCCCCTGGGTAGGATGACTGGCTTCAGGTTTCAGGGAGCTCAGCCCAGGGGAAGCCAGTAGCAGCTGCAGACTGGCAGCTCTCCCTAGAGAGCTGAGCACTCACTTGTTCATAGGCCATGAATTTGATGGCCGACTCGGGGGCGATTTTGAGGACGTTGATGCCATTGCCCCGCCAGAGTGATTTGGCCCCTCCCTCTCGAATCATCTGGGTGAATCCGCCAACGATGCACATGTTGTTGCTGCGGGAGGCGTGGACCTGAGGAAGAACAAGTTGGTCAGACACAACCTAGTGGGGCCCGTGGGCTGCCATCCTCCTGCCAAGAGCCTCTTCTCACTGGCCAACAGGAAAGGTCTTCCTTCTTGGTGTTTTGCAGACAAACTCAGCACGATGAGACTTAAACATGGCTGTTAGGTTCAACTAGATGATCAGGCATCTACTGTGGGCCAGAATTGTGCTAAACATTTTCACAAGGACTACTTTTTTTTTTTTTGAGACAGAGTCTTGCTCTGTTGCCCGGGCTAGAGTGAGTGCCGTGGCATCAGCCTAGCTCACTGCAACCTCAAACTCCTGGGCTCAAGCAATCCTCCTGCCTCAGCCTCCCGAGTAGCTGGGACTACAGGCATGCGCCACCATGCCCGGCTAATTTTTTCTATATATTTTTAGCTGTCCAATGAATTTCTTTCTATTTTTGGTAGAGACAGGGTCTCGCTCTTGCTCAGGCTGGTCTCGAACTCCTGAGCTCAAAGGATCCGCCCGCCTCGGCCTCCCAGAGTGCTAGGATTATAGGCGTGAGCCAATGTGCCCGGCCAGGACTACTTTTTAAAATAAAAAAAAATTGATCCATGGAAAAGCACAGGCTTATTTAAAAAAAAAAAAAAAATTGAGCTTTTTATTACAGAAAAATTTCAAACATATTCAAAAGTAGAAAGAATTAGGTAATGCACCTCCAGGAACCACAGTCAGCTTCAGCAGTGATCAAACCATAGCTGATCTCTATCCCCTGCCGTCCACCCCCTTACTTCATTTTTTATGTATTTATTTTTATAAAGATAGGGTCTTGCTCTGTCACCCAGACACTGTATCAACCCAGGTACTGTACCATTTCACCCAGGGACTGCTTTTACTCTCTGCAACATTTGTGGGAATTCTGTTAAAAAAAAAAAAACAAAACACACTGATGGCCAGGCGTGGTGGCTCACCCCTGTAATTCTAGCACTTTGGGAAGCCAAGGCGGGAGGATCGCTTGAGGTCAGGCGTTCGAGACCAGCCTGAGCAAGAGTGAGCCCGCTTCTCCATAAAAACAATTAGAAAAATTAGCCGGGCGTGGTGGCACATGCCTGTAGTTCCAACTACTTGGGAGGCTGAGGCAGGAGGATCGATTGAGCCCAGAAGTGTGAGGTTGCAGTGAGCTATGATGACACCACTGTACTCTAGCCCAGGTAGGTGACAGAGTGAGACCCTGTCTCAAAAAACAAAACAAAACCAAACAAATAAAACCACACACTGATGAGGCAATTGTTCCAGCCCCCATTTTCATGGATGAAGGGAGGTCCCAGGAGGGGAAGCCTTGCCCGAGGGGGGGCCAAGGGCTGGGCAGGGTCCAAGCCCCGAGCTCTTTGCCCTGAACCACTCAGCCTTCCCTGCCTCGGTTCACATGGGGTTCACACCTGTCCACTCTAACCCAGGGCCCAGGGGAAAGGAGGCTGCCTTTTCCAGGCAGGACTCCTGGCACAAAAAGTGCTAGACACAAGCAAGGGGACAGGGGGTGGCAGGTCACTGCTGAGACAGATATCAAAGTCCACCAGAATGTCATCATGTGGATCGATTTCACAATCTGCCCTGACTTCAGCCCAGCTTATCTCTGCCTTGTGGACATGGATATGGGTACCTGGCCAAGGTGATGGCACTGTGTCCCCCTGGTATCTGGGTCAGGTGAGGATCTGCTCACACCCACCCCCCGCCCCCACCATGGGGCAGGCCCTACATGAGATGTGTGTAAGGAAGTTGGTTCCTGCCTCACCCCAATCTCACTGGCTTCATCCGTCCGGGTTAAGCCCCTGTAATGTGACGTCTGGCTTAAGTGCCTCAGATAAAATTAGACCTGCTATGCGCAAAAGGTCACCTAGGGCAGATCTAATGATACCCCTGGCTGAGCCATGATTCCAATCTAATTCATTGGGTTAGAAAAGCGTGGGTCCACAGCAGGGCCCCACCCAGGGGAGGGGAAACTGACCAGATGCCTAAGGCGAAGGCGGACGGTGGGGCGTGCTCGCCTGCATACCTGCATGAGCACCTTGAGTCTGTCCAGGGGGGCTGTGCAGGTTCTGGAAACAGCCCCCGCCCCGCCTCCTGCCACCAGGTGTCTCCACCACATCCCCGTCTGCCGCTCCTCCACTGTGAACTCGTCTGGCACCGTCAGATTCTCGCCCACATCAAAGATCTGTGGGGGAGACCGCAAAGATGACACGAGCCTTATGCAGGACACCCGGGCAAGGCTGCCGGCACCTGCCGCCGTCCACCCTCCTGCACAGCTCCATCCTAGAGACCGCAGGACCGTGAGAGCGCCAAGGACCCTGGGCAGGACGCTGACGGGCGCCCTTCCCCTTCACTCTGTGAAGGTGGCACAGCTCTCATCCCTGTTGTGGCCCTGGAGAGGCCACATGGAGTCCGAGGTGAGCACAGCTAGGAGTTAGGAAATCACTCGCCCTTGCCAGGGCTGCCCGGGAGCTCCCGTATGAACAGTTCCCAAGGCCTGGCCGCGGGCCAGCTGCACTGAAGGGACCGTGTAGGGGTGAAAGCTTTGAAACCTGGAGCGTAACCGGATCATGCCGGTGAACGTTACACAAGGCCTCAGCAAATAGGAGGGCCTGCTGCCCGTGTAACACCCTCTCTCGGGGCGGACCCGGGCTGACCCGAGCCAGGGCTGCAGGCCAGAGACCCGGGCTGGCTGCTCCCACCCCTGGAGCCGTCCACACGATTTCACCCAACTAGCCCAGGCCCGGCACTGCAGGAGGCTGACGAGGGGCACCTCTGGCCTCCTCTCCCGGAGTGGACAGTCCAGGGGGACAAGACTGCACACAGTGGCACCTCCACAAGGAGTGGCAGAGAGGGACGACCAAGCTGAAGGGACTTGGGGGTGGGGAGGTCGATGGAGACCTGGATTTCTGGCATGAAACCATGGAGGACGGGGTGGAAGGGCGGCAAGGGTGCAACTGTGGGGATGGCCTTTTTGCCAGAGAGATAAATGACACCAAAAAGTAGGGTGGGGGGACACCTGATAGCTCCACTTATGTGCTCTGTATGGAGTAGTTCTTCCCCCAGCGCCCCTGCGGGGAAGGGTCAGGCGGGCTCTGGGAGAAGCAGCATTAGGAGGGATGTTTGAAATGGACCGTGAAGAGCAGGTGGCATGTGGGGACGGAGGGCATTCCTGGCAGAGGGAGCCGTGTGTGAGGAACCGGGGGAGCATGTGGATGGCTCCCTTGGACTGGCAGGGGAGGGGACAACGGGCTGATGCTGGGCCAAGGGACCCCCGTGAGTGGGGTGGGGAGAGCGCGTGGGCCTGGTCCCCACCGTGGAATGCTTCCAGTACAGGATGATCTCGGGGATGTTTTCCACAGGATGCAGGAGGTGGTAGTCTCTCCACTCGTTCCAGTCGATGGTCATCGTGCCGTTTTTGTCCATGCTGCAAGACAGCGGCAAGGACGCTCATGTGTAAGCAGGCCCCCCTGGCAGCTGCACTTCCCACCTCTAGGAGAGCCAAGGGCAGGCACCGTGGCCACTGAACAAGCCACAGAAGGCGCCTCTGCCCCTGATGAGAAAGGGCAAGGGGGCTCCACTGCCACTCTGCACAGAAACAGAAGTATAACGGCCCGCAAGAATCCCATTCTGATCAGGCACAGAGGAGAGAGGCAGTCACTGAGCGACACGGATACTTACTAGGTGACAGGGCCCCAGAAGTGGCCCGTTCGTATTCTGACAGACAGACAAAGGAGGGTGCAGAGGAGAGAGGAGAAACAACACAAGTAAGTGCTCAGAGCAGATGTTAGTGAAGCAAACACACACCCAGGATGTCGCGGGACGGCACAGCACAAGGACGGGCCCCTCCATGGTGAGTGACCCCAGGGAGCGGGCGTGGGGGGCTGCTGTCCCTGCGGACCAGCCAGCATCCAGGCTGCAGGGTTTTGGAAAGGCTCAGCCAGGAGAGATAGCAGCTACTAGGGCTAGTCCGTGCAATTTCCCGGCAACCACCCCTCAGCAGGGAGCTATCATTTGGGGCAGACCTGACTAGAGCATTAAGAGCGAGTCTCTAGCCTGGGAAATCCACCTCAGATGGGCTGCGGGGTGATCCCCTCTCCCTTCCTGGATGGGCAGAGGTGTTCCCCGCTGGCCTTTCACCCACTTGAACCCCCCATCCCAACTAGTCTTTTCATGGGTCACTGGTGAACGGGCATAATTCCAGGTGATTTGTGATAGTTCAAATGCGGGCCAGCCTGCAAACCTGGGGCGAGGCTGGCCTCCAAGAGGGGTTACTTATTCATCCTTTCAAACCACGAGAAGGCCACGTTCAGAGGAACTGGGCCAATTCGGTGAGCAGTGGCGTCAGAGCTAGTCTAAGAGCTTCTCTTTTGTTACACTTTCGTTAAACCAACACACGGCTGGCTGAGCACTCACCTCTTGAGAATTTTTTCGGCCTGCTGTTCAGATATCTTGACGCCCAGGTCCCGCAGCGACTGCATGATCTCCTGAGCGTCGATGCGTCCTGCAACGACAAGGGCCCTGAGCGTGAGCCGGGCGTGGGGGAGGCCAAGGCCGGGCCTGCTGGCAGTTCTGGAGATGACACTTACCATCGTTCTTTTTGTCCAAACTCTTAAACACCAGCCTCAGCTTCTTCTCATGATCTTGGAGATAATGGACAAATTCTTCAAAGTCTAGCTGCCCGTCGAGGTCCTTATCGCCGGCTTGTACAATTTTCTATTAAAAAAAAAAAACCAGTAAGCTCATGCACCAACCTTTCCTTGTCCCTCGGGGGCTGGGGGAAGCCTTTCCCCAGGACACATCTGTGCCAATTTGTGAACACAGGTGGCCCCAATGACCCAAGATGCTTCTGTTCTGCTCCCAAAGCCACCACGGCGATTTACTCCGATGCCACAGCCACACTTAGAGCCCTAAGTGCGGGCCAGGAGCCAAGCAAGAGCCCATCTTGCCTCACTCACAAGAAGAGAAAGCAGCGCACCCCACCCTCCCCTGGGGCAGGGGGAGACCTCCAGACAGGCCATGGGGCAGCATGACGTGCTCTCATTCCTGGTGTTCTGAAATCTGCTTCTTGTACAGCCAGAGTCAGCTGCTTGGCTCCCCTGCTGTGCTGTCCCTGGCGCCGGGCCCCAATCCCACAGCTCCTGGCCGAGATGTGGGGATGGCATTGGACCCCAGATGCTATCGGGAGCTCTGCAGCTTGCTCTTTTTCTACCTAAAAGTGGCATTGGTCCAAGAACAATTTGGTGGCCAGGGTGAAAATATGGGGCAGAGCTGGACCCTGCCAATGCCTGCTTGGCAGGGAAACTCTGCCAAGGAGCACTCTGGAGGCTGCAGAGGCCACGGGAAACTATTCTTGGGTATGCGCTGATGGCACTGCCAGTCGCTGGTCTCAGGGAAGCCGAATGATATACCCAACCCCCGCTCTCTAAGCCAGTCACTGAAAACCAGGGCAGCTCCACTTAGTAGTCCCTTAGTGACCCAAGAAGGCTTTGAGAGACCCTGTTCTGTGGCCAGGAGGTTCCCAAACACTGTACCTGCCTTAGGAGGTGGCTTTAGTTCAACAGCTGTAAGTGGTTTTGGGTGCTCAGCAACTGGAATTTCTCCACAAAAGAGCAAACATTCCCTGAGCACTAGCATTTGGCACATGCTGCAGTTATGCTAAATGCTTTACTTCTGATAACCCACTGACTCCTCTCAAATAGTCCCAGGAGATGGGTACTATCATTCCCCCATTTACAGAAGAGGAAACAGGAATTCAGAGAGGCTGTGCATATACCCAAGGTCACACAGCTAGGGAAGTGGTGGGCGGGATTCAAGCTGGGCCTGTTGGGCTCCTCAACCTCCTCCCTGCACATCCTCCTGCCACCCTACAGGCTAACCTCCAGAAGGTGGGGGACAAACGTGAGTCACTCCAACACACCAACACCCTGAACCTAGAGTCCAGATCCCAAACCTAGGATCTCCCAAGGAGAATAGCTGTAGTTTTCCTGTGTTCCCCGATTCTCTTAGCGAGAAACCCATTCACTATCCACAAATCAACATGGGCGAAGCCTTCTGAGCCAGTTGGGATTTGGAATCGATGGACCGGTGGGGCTAGCTCGCGTTCTCAAGGATCACAGTGACAGTCTCTCTCAGACGACACCCTGAACCACTCGATGGCTCTCGGCGATTCCTCAGCCATGCTGAGGAGGGAGACCAGGACAGACACCCGGTGACCTGCCATGATCAAAAAGACTAATGCGTGGGGCGTGGCTGGAATGTGGGACAGATGCTGGTATATATTTCATCTGCCATCTGAGGTTAAGTTTAGCTTCCTGTGGACACCGTGCTCTCAGCAAAGATACAAATTACCTACAGGGTCACAACTCCAGACTCTGATAAGAGTGGGAATAAGTCTTCGTGCCATTTAGGGAGGAGGCAAACATTAAGCGTGGAGCTCTCTGGTACCCAGCCACCTGCCACCAGGCAGTCCATGCACCTTACCGGGACAGGTGCTGTGACACAGACAGCCCAAGGATGTGCCTGCTGCCGCTGGCCTCAAAATACTCTCAAAGTGCTTGCCTCTACCTCAAAAGGACGGGGACTCCTTTCTCAACTTCCTTGGACATGAACATCTGCCCCCAGTGCACCATGTCTGACCCCTGCTGCCATCGGGAGCACCAGGGGACAGCAGAATCTGACGAACAAGGAAGTCGAGAAGGCAAGTGATCCCCAGACTCTGCCGTTCCCTTTCCCCATCTTTAGGGCATCACAGTCCCTGCTGCGTCCCTGCCCCACAGGGACACGAGAGTCTAGAAGGCAGGAAGGCTCCCCTGGCCTCCACACCAGACTCAGCTCCAGCCCTCTCGGGGCGCGTCGGCTCCACTCTGCAGCGGCGGTGCCCACTCCTAGGCTCTCTGCCACCCCCTCACACGTGCTCCTCGCCTCTGCCCCCCAGGCCCCTGCCCAGACCCGTACTTCTCAGGAAATCCCCCATCCCCAGCAAAAGGAGACCCCTTTCCCAGAGTCCACCTCCCACAGGTGCCTTCGCTAGAATCCCAGCCTGCAGTGGAGGTCACGTGAAAACCAGTCACTCTCGTGACATGCACCTTCTGCTGGCTGGAGCCACATGACGACTGGGTAGAAAAACTCCCACATTTCAGACATTCTTTCCTCTCGGCAGGGGACAGTTCACACATGCGCACCCCTAACACCGCTCAGCCATTCACTCAACAAACTTCCCGGCGGCAACGCAGTCACCCCCACACACCTGCTTCCACTGGCGGTACGTGGAGAACTCCTGGGAGGGGATTAAGACACTGAGCTTGAAGATGGACTTCAGCTCGGTGGGAAGCCCCTTGGACTCGAAGTACTGGAACTCAGCCTGGGCCTCCCCGATGAGCGGCATGTACAGGCACAGGCAGAGCATGCTGCTGGCCTGCCGGGCGCTCAGCCGCCGCTGCCACCAGAGCAAGTTGCGCGAATGCCGCTGTCCCAGTTAACTCGCACAGGACACGCGGGCCACACCTGTCATTGGCTGCTTAAGCCCTGTCCTTTTACTTAATTAAAAAACCCTGCCCACTGCAAGTCCCGCCAGCACCAATGAGCACAGAACCGAGTAGAAGGCGGTGTCAGGTTGCTCAAGGGGAGGGGTGCAAAGATCAGGACTGACGTCACCCGCTGCCTCCCTGTAGTTAACCCTTCAGAGACAGGCAAGACACTGTGCCCAAACAAACCTTTCACCCCCTGGCTGCCAACCCCCAAATAAACAGCCTACAACCTGTTGTCATACAAGGTCTCCAAACACGTCACACAATACAACGGTTTTCTCCCCTTAGTAAATCATTTCCAACGGAAAAATCAGTGGATGGAGAGAGACTGAACCATGCCCACTGAAGACAGGCTGAGGACAGGAGCCAGGTCCACAGCCATCCCAGAAAGAGGACCCCACCTTGGGCCCAGCAGGGGAGCTGGGGGTGCAGGCTGTCCTGGCCACACACAGCCTTCTAGGCATGGTCCTGGCTGGCTCCTGCTCTGGGGAACCCCCAGCCCTCCACAACCCACTTGTACTAGTTAGTGCCTTGAAACCTTTCTCCCAGGCCACTCTGCTGTGTGAGCACCTAGGAACCAGCTCATTCCCCTGCAGTCTTCACCTGGGGGTCCAGAAGCACCCAGGAGCTGATGTGACGGGGTGGGAAGGCGACACAGTAGAGTCTAAAGGTCTCTGTGCTGGGGGACTCCCCAGAGGCCATCAATCTGGGGTCTGCGGAGGCCTCACCTAAGACCCACAGTCTTCAATGCCCATGTGCACTTGAGAGCTCAGTCTAGTCACAGCTTTCTGGCCTCGAACTTTGCTGTTCACAACAGAAGCTTTTTAAATTTAAATTAATTAAAAGGAAATGAAATTACAAACTCAGTTCCTCAGTTGTGTGGCCACATTGCAAGTGCTCTATGGCCTCACATGGTCACTGAGCATTTCCATGATCACAGAAACTTCTACGGGGTACTGTAGCTCCAGAATAGCCCTTTTAGTTGTGGACGAGAGCAAATTTCAGGTCCTGGAAAGACGTGATCATTACTGGGAGATCCTGTGCAGGCGCCTGCGTTCTCTGCCTCATTCCTTCCCCACGGATCCGTGCTGCGGAGGAAGAGACCACGTCACCAAGACGAGAACTCGTTCCTTCCACGGCGCCACTTCCTAACATAGACTAAATCTTCACACTCCCAGGAGGGATAAAAATGGGTAGTTATCATTTGGGGGATCAGTAAGATTAGAAGAACTTCTTAATGCACTAAAAACCCTTTTGTTAACTCCTAAAGAGGATGTTTAAAGGGTTGAAGCTTATGTACAACATTATGGAACGGGGATTATAACAAGTGATATGACATTTTGGCCCTTCTAAAAGATCTGATGATGCGACTATAAAAGTAGGTCTTGGATGACACTGGGGGCAGGTCTGCTGGGGCGGCTCCGGATTACCCAGACAGGCCCCGTTCAGCCTCCGCTAAATCCAAGATATTCAGCTGTCTCCTAAGCTGCCCAATCCAGAATGTTCTGCTTTGGAGCTATTTTAACACACATCTTATCTCTACTGTTGGGGTCCTTGAAGGCAGAAGGCTGTTGCTTCAAACCTTTGGACTTCCTTGCCTGGAACTAACCTCTTGCTTTGATTACAGAAGGTGTTTTATGAGCAGCTTCCAAATGAGGAATCGGCACAGCTGGCCTCGAAGCCTAAGGAACACACACATGACCACACTCAATGAAGGCCTGTTTTTCTGAGCAACTGCAGATAGAGTCGTCAGGGCATTTCATCCAACTGAAAAAGATATATTTTAAAGGAGGCTCACATTTATAAAGAAAAGAGCTTAAAATGCTGGCTTTCCTTTGTTAAATTATTCACGTTTGCTGCTGAAACTAAAATAACACAGATCTGTTGAAGCATCTCATTTTAGTGATGACTGTAATCATTCTAATACAAAAGAGAAAATATTTTGGCTGATTAAATTATTCAATTAGAGATTTTGTTTCCTAATAAAAGCATATTTTCAAATAATTTTGGTAAATATAACATTGAGTTGTATAATGTATTTATGAAACAAATCTGAGAAGAGACTTGAAAACAATGCCAAAATGAAACTTATACCCTATATTTTAAGGAGAAATTATTAAAGATTATCAAATAAGAACTGTTTTTTAGAAAAAAAGAATGAAATCTCCTTGATTATAACAAAGGTCTACACAGACCCAGAGTACTGCTGTTCTTTGAAGTGTTCTGCATGTGCCTGTCAAGACATTATTTTACAATGCTAGTATCAGTTCCAACGTTAGTTTTAAGGGGTTCAAATTATTTTTATTTTCCTGCTGTGATTGGGTCCCACAGAATGTCTTCATTGGATAAATTTAAGTTGGTGTTTGCTTATTTATTTAAACCACCTATCCCACTGAGTTTCATAGGTAATTCAGAACTCCATTTTCTTTCTTTTCTTTTCTTTTTTTTTTTTCTCTGGAGACAGAGTCTAGCTCTGTACCCCTGGCTGGAGTGCACTGGCATCATCACAACTCACTGCAACCTCAAACTCCTGGGCTCAATCGATCCTTCTGCCCCAGCTTCCAGAGTAGCTGGGACTACAGGCAGGTGCCACCACATCCGGCTAATTTTTCTATTTTTAGTAGAAATGGGGTCTCGAACTTGCTCAGGCTGGTCTCGAATTCCTGAGCTTAAGCCATCCTCCCACCTCTACCTCCCAGAGTGCTAGGATTACAGGCGTGAGCCACTGTGCCCAGCGACCAGAACTCCATTTTCACAAAACTGAGAATTCTTCCCAAATGAGCCAATCTCTAGGTGTCTAGCACCCAGGGCCATTGCTATATTCCTGGAATTGTAGGCTGTGAGGTCCAGAGGGGGTCTGGGGTCATCCCTTAATCTCTGAGTTGAACAAACAGGCCTAGAGAGATGACTTGATTTTCTCAAGTCCCAAAGCCTGCAGGGCTGACCTTTGCACCCAGGGCCAGGCTCTTGTTACAAGGTCCACTCAGAACAGCACCCCAAAACAACACTGCCAAAAGGAGATTTTAGAATTCAGTTCCCAAGAATGCCGGTAAACCTGATACTGAGGATTACGGCTTTATATTGGGAGGCGGCAGGTGTCTGCGAGAGGCGTAACTTAAGCAAGTTGAGCCTTAGACAACAAACAACAAAAACCTGTCTTTGTGCCACAGCTTGTGAATGCCCATAGGAAAAATACAATAAGGAAGAATGAAAGCAGGCCTCACGTTTCATTCCTGACGTTTCACTCCAGCTTTCCTGGCTCTCCTACATCTGGGCATAATATGCTGCATTGCGTACAATTCGACTCTGCTCTCGTTACTTATTCTAGCTTTGTGACACAGATCTACCTCTGTTTCCTCTCCTCCAATGCCCACTTCTATGACTGGTATTCAGAGACAACGACAGCAACACTAGATCCTTTACGACTTAGTGGCATCGGATTTCATTTAGTCTGTAAAGTAACAGGTCCTCTCCTGAGCATCTTCTCACAGCAAATCTCCAATGCCATCACAAGCTTTCCTTGTTCTACCAGGCTATTACCTGCCAAAAACAAGCAGGAGCTTCCTGTAAGGGCCGGAATAGCAAGAGTTAAGAGCAGGGCAGGTGCAGTGCCTTTGGGAGCGCAGCATTAGGTCACGAAGTTTCTCCCGACTCCTCTGCAATGACTCAGACCAAACCAGAAATATTAATATGAGAAGAAGCCTCGCCAGCATCCGGTGTTCAAGCCCCACCCACCCTTAAGGCCCTCAAACCTCATTGGTGGCGGTGGCCACAGTGTCATTTGATGCTCGGTTGCCATGACAGCCCAGAGTAGCAGGTTTCCGATGAAACCTGCCTGCCTATACTTGGCAATTATACACACAATGTGCAAAATTCCCCGAGCTTCTGGGAAGACCGCCCCCCAGGATTTGGAAGCATGAATGCCACTGAGGGCACCTCCCACTCCAGAGCAATGCCTTTCTTCTCCAACTGCAGATTAACTGTAAAACAAAGATAAAGGGAAAAACTGGACCAGTTCCTAGAATAAAAGCTTGCAGGAACCTGACTCACTAGCAGACATATTTGAACAGGGAAGTGAGAACAAAACACAGTAGTGCTTCTGGGACACCAAGGAGCCTGGGAACCAAAGGGAACTTCTCTAACATGTTTTCACAACATCCTGGAGGCCTCTTCCCAGTAGAAGTTGTGGGGCCAGGCCAAGGATGCCTGCTGCGCCAAGGCTTCCACCATTCCAATTCTTGGTCCACCTGCTGAGTCTGCGCTGCCCAGATGTGCTTTCTACCTTGCTTCAACCAAACCAGCTGCTCCACCCAACCGGGAAGCTGATCCGTTCCCATGAACGGAGCCAGTAAAAGGTGTGGGTCTCCAGCTTCTGCAGGCCAGGGAATAAGCTGTTCGGGAACAGAAAGTCCTGCCCTGAGGCAACCCCTTGGGGTAGAGCTGGCAAGGGGTGCTTAGGACACTGGGAAATGGAGCAGTTAACTATTAAAGTCAAAAGTAGGTAACTTTCAAAGGCAGCCAGACAATGCAGGCCATAGGGCAAGCAGGTATGTAGATAAAAGTTCCTCACAAAAGCTAGAGCCACCGCCTTTCTGATCTTACCTAAAATGAGCAAAAGGCAGAAAGTGACACTCCCTCATTGCACATTAAACACGAACATCTCAGGTATAACAAAGACTCTGTGAGACCCTGACTCCCAGAAAGGGCTTATCACAGACTAAGGATTCTCCTGGATGCCCATACGACTGCAAAAGTTGTTATTACATCAAAAGTCCCTAATTAGCAAAGACAAAATGAACATTTATTTCTTAAATGTAGCAATTCAACTCAACAGTTTTGGGGTATCTATGATATGCCAAACACCGGGCAGAATCTCCTTCCCTTCTGATTGATTTTTATCCAGAGTAAAAAGAAAAGATTGAAAATAATCAAAGCTTAGGAGGCGAACAAGGTCACTCCTGCCGCAGGCAGGAGAAATCTCAGCCAAATGGCAATTTCCTTCCAATCCTGGGAACTCTGGCAGGGGTGGGGAATCTGCGGCGTCAAGGGCCACATGTGGCCCTCCGGATCCCCGACTGCGACCAGAACATATTTGTTCGGTAAAATTTGAATTTGGTCAAAGGGCCACACCCCTGCACAGGCTCCAGACAGATTTGGGGTTTTCTTTTTTTGAGACAGAGTCTTGCTCTGACACCCCAGGTAGAGTGCAGTGCCATGGCATCACTGTAGCTCACTGCAACCTCAAACTCCTGGGCTCAAGCAATCCTCCTGCCTCAGCCTACTCAGGAGGTGTGCGCCACCGTGCCCGGCTAATTTTTTCTATTTTTAGTAGAGACAGGGTCTCACTCTTGCTCAGGCTGGAGATTTGGGGGTTAAATCTCAGCTCTACCTCTCTTTAATCAGTTAACCCTGGGCAAGGTATTTAACTTGTCTGCATCTCAGGCTCCTCATCTAGGAAATGGGGCACTCCACTTACCTTGGCTCTCCTTAAGACCCAATGTGATAACCCATGCTGAAAGGGACCAAAGGGCTTGCAGGGATGAAAGGTCCTGTATGCGGCAGACCCACGGTGGCTGTGGTCGTTCCCAGAGGGGTGCCAGCCTCTGTGCCTCCAGACTCTAGTCTCTCCTGGGACCCAGCCCCACCCCTTCGCCCTTCCTTCTGGACCCAAAGGTAAGACGATGGTTCTACCAAGGCAAGGGGAGTGTGACCTTCAGGATGCCGAGACCCCCGCCTCCCAGGTCCAGGCAACTGGGTTCAACTTTGCAGATACATGCTCTGCCCTTCTGGCTTTGTCCTCCTCGCACTGTTCAGTTCAGCTAAGACATACTTTAATAGTTTGTCCCTTACTTTCAAATGCCTTTCTGTGGTCAAACTGACAAATTCTGAGGCAAATCTTTTGAATTCAACCTTCTTTCCCTCAATAGCCACACTGGGGTGATCATAATGGGTAATGTAGCTTTTACAGTGGTCATGGAAAGATTCTGGACTGAATTTTGTGGGCTTCTTCATTGCTTAACACTTCTCCCCAGTACCAAATTGATTTTAAGTCCTCCTTTCTCCCCATACCCCAGTTTTATTCCAGAAAAATGATCCCAGATCAGCCCCTAAACTAGGAGGTTCTCTTGAAGCTGCCATTACCTTAGGAAACTGCTCTGCAGGTCCAACCACCAGCAAAATGGTGGGTCTCTTTTCCGTGGCCTCAGCCCTTCCATCCTGTTTCACCAGAAAGCTTGATACCTGGTCTCCCCGAGCAGGGGCTGGGGTGCCTCTGACTTCATGATCGTTGCCCTCTCTGGAGTCTTGGCACCTGGCCCTAGGGAAAAAGCTAGCCAGAAAATGCCACAGCATCTGCAACATCACAGCTTCCTCCAAACGCCGCCGATGGTGACTGTTCACTTTTGAGGAATGTGACCACAATACCAAGGCTTTCTGGCTACACAGCTGCCTGGAAGACTAGGCTGGAAGCTCTCTGCATGCAGGGGCTGTTTCCTGCTTTTTCAGATTGGCCAGCACTGCTGTCGTGCCTGGCCTGAGAAGTAGCTCACTCTGAGGGAGCCTTGCCGGGCTGCTGGCAGTAAGGAGAAAGCAGCTGGAGCTTCTTCAGTAAAAACTCACTTCTGCAGGTGACGGTGATCAAATGTTTGGCTTCCTTTTAAAAACAGGAAAAAGCGACAGCCACGCAGACCTCTCACGGAGGCAGAAGCAACTTCGAGCTCCCAATTATTCAGCTGTCCTCGCTTATCACCCAAGCCAGGGACCCGAGCATCCAGTCTGCATTCTCACTGCAGCAGGGCCCGGCCAATCACCTCTGCCGACACTACCAAGTTCATTATCCCAACCCGCACCAGCCCTCCAATCACAGGCTGCTGATTTCCTGCATGAAGCCTGGTAATTCTGCAGGGAGGTGCAGACTCAAGCTCCAGATGAGGCTGGGCTAACAGCATCCACCCTGAGCTGGCTCATTAGCAGGAGCAGCTTCCTACTCTCCACCTGGGCTGCTTCCGGAACGGCATTCACCATCAAGTTCAACATAATCAACAATCCTTGGCAACACTTCCTAAGAGCATTCTAGCAACACTTTTCCTTATTCCATTATGCGATTTTCTCCAACGGAACACATGCCATATCATAGCTATCTCTTCTGTGTCTCTCTCCATACGACAAGCTTCCTGGGGGAAGGGACCAAGTCACAGACCTTTCTACCCCTAGGACTAGACATAAGTTAAGTCTGTAGACTGAACTGAGTAAATGATCATAAATAAAAAGGAATTAATCTTTGTTCACTGTTTTTTAGACTAGCAAACAAATGCAGTGCAACTACTGTCATCCCTCACAAAGGTGACCCTTTGATAGTGTTTATAACCACTATTTTAAAAATATGAGCATATAAAAAGTTTAGTAAACTGTTGGGGAGGGTATGGGGACACATACACCTTCACACCCTGCTGTGGGGGTGTAAGTCAGTGCAATCTCTCTGAAGAGCAATTTAGTCACAGCTCCCTACATTTAAAAAGTACAAACACTTTGAAATACCACTTCCGCATCTGGGAATTTATCCTATAGATAGAGTTGCCCATGTGGGAAATTTATATATTAATACACACACATAATGAAGATAGCTTTAGCAGCCTTGTTTAGAATAGCACAAGTTTAAACACAACTTAAAGTCTTTTAAAGTGGAAAGGGTACATAAATTATGGTGCACCCATACAATGGAACCCTGTGCAACTGTTAAAAAGAATAAGGCAGCTCCTTAGAGTGCATGTGCTATTATGGAATAACCTGAAAATAACCTGTTAAATGAAAAAAACAAAAAACAAGGTGCAGAAGAAAGATACTATGCTGCCACTTATTTCTAAGCTTTTATGCATGAAGACCACCTCTGGAAAGATGCATAAAATTGGAGAAAGGGTGTGGGGCAGGGAGGGCATTGGGAGCTTGAGGGGAGAAAGGCAGATGGGAGATGTGTTTCATTAACTATTCTGTTATTTTGTGTGAAACTAAACCATGAGCATTCAGGTCCCAGGCATATGCACAAACACACATAAATAAAACAATTATTTAAAAAGACACGAAAAAACAAAGCAGGCCGGGTGCAGTGGCTCATGCCTGTAATCCTAGCACTCTGGGAGGCTGAGGTGGGAGGATCACTTGAGCCCAGGAGTTTGAGACCAGCCTTGGCAACACAGTGAGACCCCATTCTCTTCAATTTAAAAATTAGCTGGGCATTATGGCACATGCCTCTAGTTCCAGCTACTTGGGGGGCTGAGGCAGGAGGATTGCTTGAGCCCAGGAGCTCAAGACTGCAGTGAGCTATGATCATGCCACTGCCCTCTGCACTGGGTGCAGAGTGAGACCCCGTCTCAAAAAAGAATTTTAAAAGCAACCAGAGGAAAAAAGACTCATTACATATGGATAAGAATGGTGTCAACCCAGAATTCTATACCCAGAAAAATGCCTTCCAAAACAAAAACAAATTGAAGACTTTACCAGACATACAAAAGCTGAGAGAATTTATCCATAGTAGACCAGATTTGCATTACAAGAGATGTTGAAAGGAATCTTTCAGGTACAGGGATAATGATACCAGATAAAAATCTGGATCTACAGAAAGGAATGAAGAGCACCAGAAATGGTGACTGTGGGTAAATATAAAGGACTTTTTTCTTGTTATTCAGAAATCTTTTAAAAGATAAGTGACATTTTAAAAAATTTTAAATATTATTAAATTATATATGTAAACTTATATGTATATATAAAATAGTAAAATGTATGAGAAGCTGGGAGGAGAGAGACAAAAGTACACTGTTTAAGATTCTGTTTTTTTTTTTTTTTTTTGAGAAAAGGTTTTGCTCTGTCGTCCTGGGTAGAGTGCAATGGTGTCATCACAGCTCACTGCAAACTCAAACTCCTGGCCTCAAGCAATCCTACCACCTTGGCCTCCAAAGTGCTGGGATTACAGGTATGTGAGCCACTATGCCTAGCCAAGATTCTTAAACTATATGTGAAGCGGTATAATAACAGTTGAAGTAGTCTGTGATAAGCTAAAGATGTGTCCTATAATTCCTAAAGCAACCATTAAAGAGAGTTATAGCTAATAAGTCAACAAAGGGGAATAAAATGGAATTATGACTAATACTCAATGGATCTAAAAGGTGGCAGAAAGAGGGGGAAAGGTAACAAAGAACAGATGGGACACACAGAGAACAAATAGATGGCAGATTTAAACACAATCACATCAATAACAACAGTACATGTGAATGGTCTAAACATCCCAATTATCAATAAAAGGTAGAGACTGTCAGACTGGATAAAAAAGCAAGATTCAGCTATACATTACATATAAGAAACACACTTTAAATATAAAGACACGGGCTGGGCGCGGTGGCTCATTCCTGTAATCCTAGCACTCTGGGAGGCTGAAGCCGGCGGATCGTTTGAGCTCAGGAGTTCGAGATCAGCCTGAGCAAGAGCGAGACCCCGTCTTTACTAAAAGTGGAAAGAAATTAGCTGGACAACTAAAAAGATAAAGGAAAAATTAGCCAGGCAAGGTGGCGCATGCCTGTAGTCCCAGCTACTCGGAAGGCTGAGACAGAAGGATTGCTTGAGCCCAGGAGTTGAAGGTTGCTGTGAGCTAGGCTGACACCATGGCACGCTAGCCTGGGCAACAGAGTAAGACTCTTGTCTCAAACAAACAAAACAAAAAAAAGGATAAAGAGTCATTTCATAATGATAACAGGGTCAAATTATAAAGAGGATGTAACAATCCTAAATGTTTTTGCACCTAATTACAGACTTTCAAAATACACGAAGCAACACCCAACAGAACTGCAAGGAAAGAAGACAAAGCCACAATTATAAGCAGATTTTAACACTCCTCTCTCAATAAATGATAGGACAAGTAGCCAGAAAAATCAGTAAGCACATAAAAGGCTCAAACAGGCCAGGCGCCGTGGCTCATGCCTGTAATCCCAGCACTCTGGGAGGCCGAGGCGGGCGGATTGTTTGAGCTCAGGAGTTCGAGACCAGCCTGAGCAAGAGCGAGACCCCGTCTCTACTAAAAATAGAAAGAAATTAATTGGACAACTAAAAATATATAGAAAAAATTAGCCAGGCATGGTGGCACATGCCTGTAGTCCCAGCTACTCAGGAGGCTGAGGCAGGAGGATCACTTGAGCCCAGGAGTGTGAGGTTGCTGTGAGCTAGGCTAACGCCACAGCACTCACTCTAGCCCGGGCAACAGAGTGAGACTCTGTCTAAAAAAAAAATAAAATAAAAAATAAAAGGCTCAAATAACTCTATCCAATAACTTGACCGAATTGAGACTTATAAAACACTCCACCCAACAACAGCAGAATACACACTCTTCAAGCATAGTCTGAACATATTCTGCCTCATAAAACAAGTCTTACTAAATTTCAAGGGATTCAACTCATACAAAGTATGTTCTTTGCCATAGTGGAATTAAATTAGAAATTAATGCCCAGGAGTTTGAGTCCAGCCTAGGCAACACAGGGAGACCCAGTCTCTCTGTTTTTTTTTTGAGACAGGGTCTTGCTGTGTTGTCCAGGCTAGAGTATAGTGGCATCATCATAGCTCACTGGAACCTCATAGTCCTGGGCTCAAGGGATCCTGCTGCCTCAGCCTCCAGAGTAGCTGGGACCACAGGCATATGCGACCACACCCAGCTAATTTTTCCATTTTTTGCAGAGACAGGGTCTCACTCTTGTTCAGGCTGGTCTTGAACCCCTGGCCTCGAGCAATCCTTCCACCTTGGCCTCCCAAAGTGCTAGGATTACAGGTCTGAGCCACTGAGACTGGCCCATAGACCCAGTCTCTTAAAAAAAAAAAAAAAAGATATTTGGAAAATACCTAAGTATTTGGAAACATTCAAATAACACAATTCTAAATGACCCATGTGTCAAAGAAGAAATCAAAAGAGAAATTAGAAAGTATTTTGAATAGTGAGAAAGCACAACATATTAAAATTTATAGGATGCAGCCAAAGCCGTAGTTAGAAGGAAATACCTATATTAGAAAAGAAAGGTCTCAAATCAGTGACTTCAGCTTCCACCTTAAGAAATCAGAAAAGAAATTAAACCCTAAGCAGAAGAAAGAAAATAATAAACTAAGTGAGGTTAGAGACTGTGCCTTACTTATCCTAAAATTTCCCCTGTCCAGCACCTAAGACAGGGATCAATGGAAATGCAGACCTTGCCAATATTTCTCTTAAAAAAATTTTTTTCATGTCTTTCATTTTCTCATGGGTTAATATGGCACATCTCTTTCCTCATACCACAGCATCACCTAAACCAGCAGTATCTGGTAGACCATTAGTTTCCTTGGGTTACATGCCAATTACTGTTATATAACTCTAATCACAGCTAGCTTTCTTGGGTATGAGGGACCACCCATAACCAGGGACAGGGCTGGCACGTGTAACCTTCCTGTAATTATAGCTTATAAACATCAACACAACCTGGTTAAGACAAGGCTATTTGCCTGCAGAAGCCGTCCATTCTTCTAATGAAATAGTCCTCTAAAGGGAGGTAGTGAGTCAAATGACTGGCATGTCACTTATTCCAAATTACCCCGAAGAACTGCCTAGCAGGGTATACAGCCCAGGAGAACCACACAGAAGGACAACTGGAGATTCCTGAGGGAGTCTTATTACAACGATGTATAGAAAGCTCCCAGGACCAAGTGACCAAGTGATCGAACATGGCAATCTCCAAGTC